GAGGAGAGGAGAGGAGAGGAGAGGAGAGGAGAGGAGAGGAGAGAAGAGGAGAGAGAGAGAGAGAGGGAGAGAGAGAGAGGTGTGAGAGTGTGTGTGCATATGTGTTTCGTGGACCTTTTGACAGCCAGGAGAAGCCAGGTGAATAGACCTTTCCTCAGAATCACATTTTTAAATGTATAAGATAAGATTCACAGGATTACAAAAGAAATGAATTCTGTTGAATAATCCATAGCCAGGAAGACTTCAATCATGCACAATCACAGGTAACATAGAACTATTGATGAACAGATTGAGCAGTAATTTGAAACCAGAGTCTTGCTGAGGCAAAGGGGTGTGTGTGTGTGTGTGTGTGTGTGTGTGTGTGTGTGTGTATGTGTGTATGTGTGTGTAACCCTGGCTAGCAACTCCCCTTAAAAAGGAATGGAAGCTCCTGGAAGGCAGGGTGGTCTTTCTATCTCCAGGTATCTTGCGCATGATCTGGAATTTCGTCTTGGTCAGTGTAGATACTCTTTCTCATAATGTAGATCTCAAATCTTAACTTAGATGGACTTAACACATAGTAGGCACTTAATAAATGTTTGTTGAATTGAACACAAACATACTCAGAACCACAGTTAGTTTATTTACCTTTAACACTCTGAAAATTGACCTTCCTGGCTTTTTAAGTCATGTTCAACTGTTCGTGGTGTGTGTTTCTATGTGAGTACAGGAGTCTGTGTGATAGTGTGTGTGTGTGTGTGCTTTTTGTTCCAATCCCCAAAGCCCCACTTCACTAAAGAGAAAAAGAAAACCAGCCTTCATTATGCTAACAATTCCCAAACTTGACTTCAGTATTGTCTGGGTCAAACATTCTTCCTGCCAATGACCCCTCTCCTTCCCTTCTCACCCATGGCTGCTCCTCCCTTAGGTTTTTGAAGGCCAGCATTCCCATGCCCAGAGAGGGAGGCCACTGGAGTGTGGTCTCCTTGGCCTTTTGGCTTCTTGTTCTCACTGCCACTTCCCCAGTTTGGGAAGCTGGGATGGGAAGGTGTGGGGGTCTTGGTTGGGAAGTTCTCACTCAATTTTTTTCCTCATTCGGACATTCCTTCATCTGGAATACAAAAGCAACTCTATTAGGATATTTGGTAGGAAGACAGTTCCTTGAGAGCAGGCCCTGTCCTCTTTGCATTTGTCTCTCAATAAATGTTGAATTATTGTGGAAATGAACCTCAGCTAACCCAGCCTAACTTCTGTCCAGGAGATCCTGAGCTGTGTGAGTGCAGGGAGGAGGTGTCAGGCCGACAGGGGAGGTCCAGACTGGGTGACACACTCCATGGTCTTGCTGATCTGTTTATGCTCAAACTTGACCCCAGAACTCATTCATCCATCCACCATCATTCTCTCGGCCCTTTTCTCCTCTCCCTCCACCTCAATCCCTTCTCTGTGTCTCAGGAGGTTTCCCAGACTGCTCCTGACCTAATTCCGAGTGAGAAGTGCCTTTTAGGGAGAAAGGAGATGCTATTAAGGTGGCTTGTAGTCCTCAGTGCTCATGCAAATAGTTTAGTCTAGCAACTAAAATAGAACTGAGATCCAGAGATCCCCAAGTTGCCCTCCACTCCCTTCATTGTGTTTTTACTAATGTAGACTGGAGAACTGTCTTAAAGGCACAGCACTCATATATTCATATCATTTGAGCTGGAAGGAAACCTAGAGACCACCTTGTTGTACTCCTTCATTTTGCAGGTGACGAAACTGAGGCTCAGGGAGTGACTTACCCAAAGTCACACAGCCAATGAGCAGAGGATAGAGTGCAGAACCCAGGATGCCTGATTGCTAGGCTCTTTCAACTCACTTCACCCAAAACCAGGAGAGTTATCCACTGATAGACTAGAATACCCCCCACTCCAGACTTGGAAGTCAAAAGGATATACAATTATCCTCTCCACAGGGGTTAGGGATGCAGTGCCCCCATGATCTGGAAAATCCATGTAAATTTTCTTGGTCCTCCCTTTGTACCAGAGAGAAGTCTGAATTTTTACTTTGTCTTTTATGGGGTGTTCATAGTGCCTTATTATAAAATTTGGATGGATATAATATAATACTATAGATATATTTTACGTATTTCTGAGTTATCTAAACTTTTTCTGTGTTGTCTGCTGAACTTCACCTGTCATCTGTGATTTTCCACAAAATCCCCCCAAAATTCTCATTTAATTTCTTATGCTGACCCACAATATACCAAAACTGTGTTGGGGAAAGTTACAATGTGGAGGGGATAATTGTTGTTTCAAGCCCTGGATGTTTACTAAGCCAGACACTTTTCTATCTGTTATGTGAGCTGTGCACTGAGGGGGAGAGGCTGATGGACCCCATCCAGGCTGAAGGGAGATCAAGAAGGAGGAGGGCTGAGACGAGGCCACTGGATTTGGCTATCGGGAGATCGTTGGAAACTCTGGGGAGAGCAGTTTGGGTGGGACGATGAGGGGAGTGGGAGGAGAGGAAGTGGTTCTCCTAGTATAGATTGTTTTTCAAGCAATTGAGCAGGAAAGCGGAGGAGGGTTTAGTCAGTGAGGATTTTTTAAGGATAGGGGAGACTTTGGAATGTTTGTAATTTATGAGGAAGGAGCCAGAAATAGGGAGAGATTAAAGATTAGAGACAGTTGGGTGACAGAGGGGACAATCTGCCGGAGAAGATGGAAGGGGATGGCATCTAGGGTATATGTAGAAGGGTTTGCCTTGGCAAGGAGAAGGGCCACCTCTTGTCTCCCCTGTTAGAAGGCCTTTGTATTCCTCAGGTCTTAGCACAGCACCTGGCAAACAGTAGATGCTTAATAAATGCATGTTGATTGACTGCTGAATGACTCTTTAGGTTAAATAGTAGGGGAAATGTCTGAGTGATGGGGATCAGAAGTAATGACTTGTACTTCTGTACCTGAAGGGAAATGTCTGAATCCCGCTTCTTACTCTGGTCTGGTTCCCTGCTCTCTTCACTCTTTATCTCCTCCTTGGTGCCAAGTTCAGAGGAATCCTACAAAACATAGAAATCATAGGCTATTATAGTGTCAAGGAATCTTCTAGAGCATTTAGCCCAATGCTTTCATCTTATAGAGGAAGAAACTGAGGTGCAGACTGAGGCTGCTAGTTAGTGCGGGAAGACTCCACCTTGAACGCCAACCCTCCTCACATCTACTGAGGACATGACATCGAGGTGGTGTCATGAAACCTTAGAGTTGTCAATAATTTAGCCCATTCTGCTCAGCGCAGGAATCCCTTCATCCAGACAGAGGACAAAGTTGTTATTCCTCCACCCTCCATCCCATTATTTTATATTGCTTGTAAATGCAAGGCCAAGTCCAGACTCCTGTGGGCACTCCATTGGCAGGTTTTCAGGGGAGTACCCTCCAGGGATCTGTGCTTGGTTCTCTACTATTTAAGAGTTTTATCCATGACTTGGATTTGCAGGTGACACAAACCTGGCAGGGATAGAGATGACAGCACCAAGATCCCAAAGGATCTTGGCAGAGTCCCAGCGCGTTAGGCAGAATCTTAGAAGAGGAAATTAGTTTGGGAACAAAACAATCAACTTCACAAGTGTAAGCTGGGGGGATGGCAAGCTCTGGAGGGCACAGCAGTGGGACGTGGTAGCCCACATTTCATATGATTAGTGGCTGCTTCTAGGAATAAGGAAGTGACCATATCAGACCTCATTCTCAAGTACCAAGTTCAATCCTGGGTTTCACAAGTTAAGAGGAACATTGTAAGTTGGAGAACATTAAGAGGAGACCAACCAGGATGAATCCGAGGCCATGTCATCTATTAGTTGAAGAAACAAGGTTGTCAAGCCTTAAGAAGAGCAAGACTTATTTAACAGGGGACAGGGGGATAGTACTGCAGTCTTCTGGCCTTTGAAGGGCTGGCACATAGAAGACTGATCAGAAGTGTGCTCTCTGGCCTCAGAGGGGAGATGCAGGAACTGTGGATGGAGGCTACAAAAAGGTGAATGGAGACTGGGTGTCAGGAAAAGCTTCCTTACAGCTAGCACTCGCCATGAATGGGCTGGGCTCCTTTGAGGGTCAAGGGTCCTTCTTCCTCAGAAGTCTTCAAGAAGAGACAAGATGACCAGATATTTATTGTGGGGGCTCCTGGTGTGGCCACTGAGACCCCCTCCAATCTTCAAATTACGTGAGTAGATTGATAGCTGTGTTTCCTGCCTGTCTGTTTACATGTCCCTTCCCCTGAGAACTGTAAACTCTCTGAGGACAGAGTCTGCTGCATTTCTGTCTTTGTAGTCCCAACATTAAGCACAGGGCCTGACACATTAAAGGCTCTTTAATAAAGGTACATCAGAGTGAACAGATTGTCAAATGGCTATCTCTTCTTGAATACTTCCTGCGATGAGAAACTCACTACCAGTTCTATTTTGGGAGGGTTCCAAATGTTAAAAATGATAATTTTGGAATTGGAAACTGTCAAATTCAATAACTCTTCTATTGAACCACAAACTTTCCCTGTAACATACGTGGCCCAAGCTCTGCTATAAAGAATAATTCTTCTTTCATATGACTGCTCTTAAATAATTTGAAGACAACAATCACATTTCACTTAAAATCACTTCTACAGGCTAAATATCCAGGTTGAACAGAACATCAGAGTTGAAATCAGGTCAAATGAGACCAGAGACCAGAGTATAACCTGTCTGAGAATTTTAGCAAAAACATTTTCACTCTCGGTGGCCAAGGGTAGTGGTGGTGGTTAGGGAGGTATGTCTCTCATCTCTAATCTCTACTGCATTTGAATATCTATAGGAGACTATGGCAGGTTAAATTAATTCAGCAGGTATTTATCAGGCCCCTACCCAGTCCAAGCTCTACAGTTTGGCTTTAACCTCCCTTTCAATTAATAATTGCTGAAGCAATTAATTACACAATCATATAATTGATATGGACTAAATGCCTATGGGTTTCTGATCATTTGGCCTGCTGCTGAAAACACTTTGGTGGCCCTGATTTAGTCCAGGCCACATTTTACAAATTAAGAAAGTGAAGGCCATACTGTTGTAGCGATCCAAGGTTGTACAACTAGTTAGGGGTAGAGCTGAGGCTTGACTGCTCTTTCCAATAGACCATGAGTATGGTTTGGTAGGAAGAGAAATAGATTTGGAGTCAGAACAATTCGATTAGAGTCCTGACACTTTCAACCTGGTTGATCTTTGGCAAGTCATTTAACCAGAAGGGTCTCAGTTTTCTCACTGTAAAATGGGGATAATAATAATAAAATAATATTATCATTAATAATAATGCTTTCCAGGGTCAAATGAGATAACATACGTGCAGTATTTTGTAAACCTTAAAGCTGTATATAAATGCCATTATATTATTATCATTACTAATATTATTATTATTATGGCAGCTTGGTGGTTCAGTACATAGAGCACTGGGCCTGGAATCAGGAGGATCTGAGTTCAAATCTAGCCTCAGACACTTACTAGCTGTGTGATCTTGAGCAGGTCACTTAATCTCTGTTTGCCTCAGTTTCCTGAATTGTAAAATGGGGACAATAATAGCACCTATCTCCCAGGGTTGTTGTGAGGATCAAATGAGATTATATTTGTAAAGTATTCAGCCGGTGCCTGATGCATTATGGGTACTATGCAAATGCTTATTCCCATCTTATCATTATTATCATCATGATTATTTTTCCTCCTTCCCAGAGACCTGAAGGTTCATCTATGTGGCCTTCTCACCTGTGTGGTCGGTGAAGTAGGGGCAACATGCTCCTTAAAACTTCTGGGACTGCCATCCCCTTGGCTGGCTTCAGGTGTCTGTGGTCTTGGCTTCTCAGCTGGCTTGAGATCAGGTAAGGGCCCTGAGCTGGGAAGGGCTTTAGGAGGAGGTGGCTTATTGTGGGCTATAAAAGCTTTGAAACTAGGCGTTCTCTCCCTTACCGGGCCTGATCCTTCATTAGGGGATAGGGGTTGGGAGACTCCTGGGGTTGGTAATGGAACCTCCTCGGGAGAAGGCAAGATTCCAGGGGATACTGGAGCTGTGTGAGAGGAGGAACCTTCATCTTGTAGCTCAGCCTGAACTACAGAAGAAGGTCGTGACCTAGTTGGGCCATTGCAGGGTGACACAAACTTTTCTTCAACACTGGGGTCACCTATGTCCCCTCTCTTCTCTTCTTCAAAGGGGTCATTATGGAATTCAGGGGAGTCTTCTTTCTGGGTTAGTTCCATAGCTGGAGCATTTTCATCTTCCAAGACTGACTCTCTTTCCCTCTTCAAGGAAAAGAGGGAGGTGACAGTAGGAGGGCTGATAGGAGAGGGACTTCTGGGAGAGAGGCTTGCAGGAGAGGGACTTCTGGGAGAAGAACTCGCAGGAGAAGGACTACGGGGGGAGGTGAGAGGGCTGCCCTCCCCAGAGGTTATGGAAACACTGGATCTAGGGATTGGAGATGAGATGACCAAGGAGCTTCGCTGCCTAAAAAGAGAGAAGAGATTGTTTTTAAAAGTCAGCCAGCGTTAAGGAATACGTCAAGCCCAACCAACAAAATTTTATTTAGAATCATAACTTCAGAGTTGAAAGAGACCTTGCCGTTTGCTTTCCTGATCATCTGGTCAGACCCTCTCATATTAGAGGCAGGAAAACCAAAGCCAGAAGTGGCCAAGTGACTTTTCTAGGAGAAGCAGCATTATAAAATATAGTGGGAAAAAGCATTAGATGGGGAGCCAGAGGTTGGGAGCTTGAATCTCCAGCTCTGCCACCTATCAACTATGGACTTTGAACAAGTCCGTTGACTTTTGGCGGCCTCAGTTTCCCCTCTCTTCTATGATCCTGTGACTCATTCATTCACTTCACCTGAAATTCAGTCTACATTTTCTCTCTTGATAATCTCAGGATCAGTAAGGAATGAGGAGGGGACTGGCTTAGTTGGGGGGAATAATGTAAGAGGTCATAAAGGTAGGTTGGAGGGAGATGATGGAAGATCTCACTTTCCCTCCAAGGCACAGGGGACACACTGAAGGCTTTTGTAATACTATCAGACTGATGGCATGAGAGGGCAGGATGAATTGAAGAGAAACTGAGGACACTGAGGCAGGGGGAATAGTTTAAAGGCCATTGTGAAGTGGTCTTGGTCAGGGCCAGTGAGAGCTGGGGTAGGGTGGTGGCAGAACAGGCCAGACATCGCGGCACTGAGGTAGGACTGGAGAGACCCAGAGGCAGAATTCTAGCCAGCGACTGGGTCATTTTTCAGTTGATATTCCCCAGTGCCTAGAAGGTTGCCCTGCACCTAGTAAGTGCTTAATAAATGTTTGTGGCAGTGAAGTAAGGAACTGTGCTCTAGCCTTTGGAGATCCCTGGCTAATGAGACAGGTGACTTATCCTCAGTCACCTCATCTCTCTTGGGCTTCAGTTTCTTCACTGGAAAAAAAGTGGGTTGGAGCAAATGATTTCCAGGGGACCTTCTAGCTGTGATATATTGTGTACCTATGAGTTATGAGCTCCCAGAATAGAAGAAGAACCAGGGAAACAGGAATAAATGATGTAGCAAAGGGAAATTGAATGTGTTCTGTTAAAGGAAGTTAAAATTGGAAGGGACCAAACAATTCATGGAGCATATTTTTGTAATAGGCTCAACTGCATGCTGAGCACTTGCACAAGTAATGCTCTGACAGGTGCCTTCCCAGAGGTAGCTAATTTGGAGCCAGTTTTCAAGAAGTACCAGCAGAGGTGGGGGGCAGCCCCCAAAGGGTGTTGGAATAGCCTAGGGGAAAGCTTGCTAACCGGGTCTCAAATTTAGAGACTTCAGGGCTTTGATTGGCTGGAGCAGAGTTTCCCATGGGGGTGGGGGAGATAATGGTTATTAATTGGGTTGTCCTCCCAGAGAGGCTTAGGTCATTTCACTCTTGGTGGCCAAGGGTAGTGGTGGTGGTTAGGGAGGTATGTCTCTCATTTCTAATCTCTACTGCATTTGAATATCTATAGGAGACTATGGCAGGTTAAATTAATTCAGCAGGTATTTATCAGGCCCCTACCCAGTCCAAGCTCTAGAGTTTGGCTTTAACCTCCCTTCCCAGGCCTATTTTCCATTACTCCGCCCTCCCCTAAACAAAGTACTCAAGCCAGATAGGATCTTTCACCACTCCCTGAATAATTTCTCATCCCTAAAGCATGGAATACTTCTCCCCCTCCACTGCTACCTGCTGAAATCCTATTCCTCCTTCCAGATGGGCACACTTTGAATGGCTCCTCCATGAAGCCTCCCCTAGGCCACTGCCACATGTAATCTATTTCTCTCAAAGCATTTTTCTTATGCCTTTGTTTTCCAGCATTATGTTTCTTTGTATCCACTTCTTATTTTCCCATTTAGATTGTAGTAAAAGTAACAGCTAACATCTCTATGGAACATTTTACATACCTCATTTGTCCTTGGAAGGGAGGAGGTACCATAAGTCTGATTACCTCCATTTACAGAAGAAGACATGGAGACTCAAAGGGGTTAAGTAACTTGCCCTGGGCCACCTAGCTAGTAGGTGAGCAAAGGCAGAATTCACACCTATGTCTTTCATGACTATCTTGAGCTTAGCACAATGCCTTGAACATGCTACATGCTCCATAAAAGTTTATTGACTTGACTTTGGTATACAGATACACAGGAAAATGAGTCATGGTCCCTATCCTTCCAATAAATGACAATTTAGTGGGTGTGTGTTGAGGAAAGTGGGAGGGGGAAGGGGGGGAGAGGAGAGGGGAGAGAGAGAGAGAGAAAATAAAAATAGACCAATAACAGGACGAGCTAAGGACCAGAGTAATGCAGCATAATACAGCATGGCTGCTTGCCAGGTTCGGGGCACAATGTTTCTGTTCTACTCTTCAGGGCCCCGCTCAGGTCTCCTCTCCCCCATGAAGGCTTTCCTGATCACTCCAGTTCTTCTCTGAATCTCTGCAGTGCTTGCTGTCTGTGCCATCCATTTGAACATGGTTAGTCTGTCTTTTAAGTGCACATCCCTCCTCCCTCCCTAGGGCCTAGGTTCTGCCAGGGCAGAGAGGGTTAACGATTCATATAGTAGTTGCTTAGTCAATATTTTTCAATAACAATTTGTGTTGATTATGGTAAGAGCTATGAGTTTGGAAGAGGGAGAGATAATGGGCCTAGCATGGTCATAGAAGCTTCATAGAAGAGGTAGATACTAGACTGGGTTTTGAAGGATGAGTGGGATTACTTACAAGTAGAAAAGAGAGGGTAGTCCAAGAAGAGGGTGGAAGGGAACTGTATGAGCAAAGACACACAGGCAGGAAATGTACATGGTGTGTAATGGGGGGCAGAAAGGAAGTGACAAAAGTAAGTAGCGCTATCTGGCTGGAGAGGAGGGGTCGGTCACATAAAGGAGTCTTATATCAACTTTGAAACACAACACATCTATGCAGCGATCCATACTCACTTACCCACCATGGGGAAGGCCATGACTTTGGATTGAAGGAGGAGAGGGGGATGGAGGAATGAAGGGAAAAGGAAAGAGAAGGGAAGGACACAGAGAAGGAACAAAGTTGACCCTGTGACAGAAAAAGACACCAAAGATTGCTCACTTGGACACTCCCTTGACCACAAAGACTTTGCTGGAATACTGCTTCTCCAGTTTGCTCATCACTTCATATAGGTCATGGTTCAGCTACAGTCAACAAAAGAAAAAAGGAGGGAATGGTTGTAATAGTTCAGCGTGGGCTATCTTCTCTAAGATGCCCAGCTCTATCCCTTCTCTTCTTCCCAACCCGACTCTATGTTCTTTTTCCCCTGAAAACCTATGGAATCCCCTCCTTTTTCAGTAACAATGTCCAGAGCTCCAGCCAGTTACCTCCAAGCTCTTTTGGGGTCTTTGTGCCCTGTGACTGCATCCCATTTCCCTGGCTATTGTTGGGAGCTCTCAAAAGAAGTGCGGGGGCCGATTCTGTTCCCGGTATAAGTTTCTGCACCCAGCCAAAGAATGGGTGGTGTTTAGGGAGGAACAATCAGGCATGTGAGCATTTTTTTACTGATACACTGGCTTCTGAACCTGCCTAGACTTAGCCAGGGGCACAGGGAAACTCTGTGGGGTCCCTTACTCACAGCCATTCTTCTGGCCCCCTAGTGACTGCATGCCATGTGTCACCCAGGCTGGAAACACTAGCTCTTCCTCCAAATTCCCTTTGGTAACAGCATGCAGTTAACTTTCCATTACCCATCTGTGGTTTATCTATGTCGCAAATGGAATATATGCAGGTGGTATCTAATTCTCTGTGTTGGCTTCCTTCATTCTGTTTCTGTTTTGATATTAAATAAGCAAATCCCACCTGGCTAGAGGGCAACTTGTAAGATTCCTACTTCTGGCAAGGGGTTAGACTGGATGACCTTCCAATGCTGCCTTTTTAGCATACTCTGAAATCATCATTAAGCCAAAGAAATCCTTCCCTCAAAGAGAGAGATTTCAACTTAACATATGGAAGAACTTTCTAATAACCAATAACCATTCAAAAGTGTGATGGGCTTCCTCAAACACCAGGAGTTCCTTATCACTGGAGTTGTTAAAGCAGGCCTGCACAACCTGCAGCCCGCAGGTCTTCCTCTACATTTTTCTCAGGCCTCCCGAAATCCTTAGGTGTGCCACAGGTTGTGCAGGCCTGTGTTAAAGCAAAGGCCAGATACTGAGATACTGCAAAGAAGATTCATATTTCAGGTACAGCTTAGATTAAGCAACCCCTAGGTCCCTCCCAACTCAATGATTCTGTGACTTTGGCAGCAACAGAGGGCCCCTGCTTTGGAGGTGTGGATGCATCAAGACCCAGGAGGAAGGAAGCAAAGATGTGGGTCCAGATATAAAAGAATCTGGGAATTCTACAAGTAGGAAGAATACGAGACAATATTTGGTCTACCCCTTCTTCTGCCTAAAAGGACTGCCCAAAACCAGCCAAGTGACCAGAGAAACTCTCCTAGGATTTTAAGACTGACCTTTACCCAGATGGTGATGCCTTGGTTTACACCTTTTAGTCTCAAATAACCTTCTTTATTGGGAGGTTTTTCCATAAGAAGAGGCATTCCCACCTGCTTGGTTGCTGAACCCTAGGGACAGCTTGAGGCCTTTCCATCTGACTTGCAACTGAAACTTTTCATATATACTGTCTCACTCATTCAAATGGAAGCTCCCCGAGGTCAGGGACTGTCTTCTACTTCTATTCCCAATGCTTAGCACATAGTAAATACTTAGTAAATAATAAATTCATGTATAAATTTAACCCAACCTAGATCCTCTCATTTTAGTATAACTCTTTCTGGCCTAGAGCTCTTCATTGTGCATGTGTTTGTGTGCATATGTAAGTGCTAGCATGTGTGTGTTTTTCTGTGCAATTGAAACAGGACACACTAAACCATGGATGCTATTTCATCCCATCTACCAGGAATCACCTTGGGAAGGTGCTATGGGCCTCACAACCAGCTCCAGAAATCCCCATTATCACCTCAGTTGGCCAATGGCTTCTTACCTTGCTCATTTCCTTATAGAAAACATCCCGGAGGTTGGAGATGTTCTGGAAGATGGTCACATAGCAGCCAATTCGGCTAATGGGGAACAGAGCAGAGCCAGGCAAAGCAAATAGCAAGTGAATACCCAGGAAGAAAGGGCAGATAGCTAATATTTATAAAACAGATGGGAGAGGCTGAATGTTATAATGGAGAGAGCATTGGCTATAGAGTCTGAGGCCCTGGGTTTGAATCCTGGATCAGGCACTAATTCTGTGACATCACTTCACTTCTAATGGAGCTCAGGTTTTTTGGTCTGTAATATGTGCCATCTATCCTGCAGGATGCTGTGAGGATCAAATGATTAATAATGATAGTCATTCATACCATGGAATTGATGGGGTTGGGATCTGGGCCCTAGAAAGGGAAAACCCTGGACTTTCCCACATGGCCAGATCTGGCATTCCCCTGAGTCTATAATCCCACCAAGTGGCCTTTCATTGTGGACTTCCCCATGGCCCCAGGCCACTTCTCCATTCTCCCTTGGCCAAGTGGTCCAGGTCCCTGGAATTCTATTACCTCATAGACTACTTGGCCACTCCTAGATCCCTCCCATAGTCTTTCTGTATATAAGGTCCATCTTGTCTCCATTAAGATGTTTACATTCTTATAATCTAGCCACTGCTGGGATTCTTATAATCTAGCCACTGCTTAGATTCTTATAATCTAGCCACTGCTTAGGTTCTTAAAATCTAGCCACTGCTGGGATTCTTATAATCTAGCCACTGCTTACCCATGTTCAGACTCCTTAAGAGTCTGCCCAATATAATGGTTGTTCTAATAAACCTTGTCTTTGGTTGAAAGAAGGCTTGGGTTGAATTTTTTCGGGCAGGATCCATGTGTTGTGATTTTGGGATCCCAGCACCCCTGAACCCCCAAACCGCATCATAATTAGTTCTGTAGTTTACAAATGATGGAGTGATGGGACCTGGACCCCTAAAAGAAAAAGACCCAGTCTTTGAAAGCAACCCAGTCTCTGAATTTTCCCATACATTTCAGCAGCCCAGATCACCGGTCTCTTGCCCAAAGCATCTGATCTACCCCAGCCCACCTAGATCACTTAATTATCTTACTAGACAGTACTTTCACTATTGTACCTGGCCCACCCCTTTTGTATATAAGCATTAGTCTCACTCCCATTACACTGCAGGTTCACTGAAACCCTGCCCGCTTCTATTGGTGTTACAATAATAAACCTTGCCACTTTGATTGGAAGACAGGTTGAGTGCGTGAATTCATTCTAGGCGGACACCACCCTGCACCCTGACATTTTGGGGTTCCCAGCAACTGCAAACCGCATCACAAAGAGCTCTTCCTACAACCACTTGGATAAGGTTGGTACTGTAAGCACTATTACCTCCATTTTAGAGACGAGGAAACTAAGACTCAAGGGATGACTTGTCTATGGTCACAGAACTAGTGTTAAGAGCTAGGATTCTGAATCGAAGGCTCTTTGCTCCATAGAACAGGACCTTCTCTAACCTTCCCCCTACACTCCACCCAAAATTCCAGAACCACTTCCACTTCCTCATGTCTGAAGGCTCCAGCGTCCTGGGGTTGGGTGGTAGTCAAATCCTCAAGGAAGAGGGGGAGAGAGTGGAAGGGAGCACTGGCAGCCCATGAAATTTGGCACTAAAACAGGCTGGATTTCCAGATTAATAAAATAGTTTGCCCATCATGGAAGGTGGTGTTATTATTGTGATGAGTACTTTCTGTGATACCTGTGCTCCACAAAGCTGTGTCTGTAAATCAATGTTTATAACTGAATCCCATTTTAAATGCCTCAGGAGATCTCACTATTTCAAAAACTTCCAGTTCAACTAAATTTGATTCTGTGCAAATTCTATTTAAAGAAATATTCAACTTTTGTAAAGTGAAGAGTCCTTCACAATGCACACCTCCTCCTTCAGTTATATCTTGTATTAATCTGGAGGTTCATGCTTGGTTTAAAGCAATATATTTGTACAAGAAACTACACTATTATAATCAACTGATTTTGTATGGCATTTAAAAGCGTGTCAAGCTTCCCTTTCATATCTCGTATGTATCTCTTCTTTGCCTGAAAACCTTGGAATCAAGGAGGGCAGGGCTTATTACAGATAAGGAGACCAGTGCCCATATTTGCCAGGGGTCACTAAGTGAGTCAGTGGCAGGGGCTAATGAGGTCTTTCAGAGGCTCTGGCCAACCAGGCTAAGGGGGCTCTTTTCAGGGCACCACATCCTGGCGCAGTGGGAAATGCCTCCCACTCCTACTTTGGCACTTCTCCAATTCCCTGGATCCTTTTACCTGCTGTAGAGAAGAGGCAGTTCTTCCTGTAGCTCCCGGTTCAGGTCCTCAAACACTGTCTGTGCTTTGACAAACTCCTCCTCTGCCTGGGGTGGGGGTGAGGGCAGGGTGTCAGCAAGGCGAGCCATGGCTCCTGCCCCCGCCCGTGGTGTTGTCTTCTCCCACTCCAGCACCCATTCAGGAGCCACCATACTCAGGGTTCCCAGACAGGGAGGAAGGATGGGCTAAAACTTTCATCCAGCTCCCAGACAGGAGGCCTCTCCTGTTCTCGTTACCTTGAGGGTTTTAGCCTCGTCCTTCTTCTTGGCATTCTGTACTGCTTCGAGGTGGTGCCGGGCACTGTCATAATCTACTAGTTTCCGACCCCGCTTGGAAATTCTCTCCTGGTCCAGAAAAGAATAAAAAAGGACTGAAGCCGAGCCAAGGAAACAGTATCTACAGTGACTACAACTGTGTGAATGGAAGGAACTGAACCACACCCCAAATAAATCAAAAGTAAATATAACAAAATTGTAAAGATTGAGCAGGACCCAATGAGTGGATCGGAGAAGATGCCCCCAAGTCACCCCTTGGTGGAGGTGGGAGGTCTGCAGGAGTTACACATTACATGGTTTTCAGACTTTCTCAATGCATTGATCAGGTGTGCTGATTTTTTTTCCCCTCTCTAAAAGAATACTATTTGTTACATGGGATGACTCTTTGAGACAGGGAGGAGAAGGGATATTTGGGATAGCAGTGATGATGTAAAAAAAAGAAAGAAAAGGTCCAAACTTCAGGCGGGATAAAGAGCAGAGCACTGGCTTCTCAGTAGGACACCTGGGTCCTAGTCTTGCCTGGCTATCTAACAGAGTTGTAGGTGGACCCAAGAAGACAACCTGTATCCTAACCCAGGAAGGAAGAGGAGGTAAGGAAGTAAAATTAAATAGGGAGGTGCAGGCTTGGGGAAGTCCTGAGAAACTGACCTGAATTAGAATATCCCTAGATATTCAGCCTTTAGACTCCTCTTTTAAACTTCCTGGAGAAAGAATCGGCTCATACAAAGATCACTGGGCCATTGACATGGGAAGGCATTGGGATACAGTAGAAAGAACATGAGATTTGTAGAATCTTGCAGAAGCCCACGGCTTGGAATCTTAGCCCTGCTCCTGCCTGTCTGCCTGCCTGTGTGAGACTGGCTGCTCTGCCCTAAGGCAGTCCCAAACTCAAGCCAACCTAATTCGCACATTAAACCAAGCCTTGAATTTAAATATAACCTCTCTTGGCCTCAGAGGGTTGTACTAAATGGTCTTTAAAGTCCTCTCTGGCTGTAGATCATGTGAAAGCTTTGAGAAAGCCTGTCTCAGCCCCACCCAAACTGTAAGTCTAGAGATCCTGGGAGTCTAAAAACTATGGCCTCCAAAGGTTTCTAGAAAAATAAAGTTTACCAAATCAGCACACATGAACTAGTAGGGAAGCGGGGCCAAACCACTGCCATTGCTGCTGTTGGATAGTTGATACCACCAGCTATCGTTTTGAACGGTAACATGGATAGATTGTCAGGAAGAATTAGGTTCCAATCCCACTTCCCATATGTACTAGCTAGGTGCTGGTAGACAAATCACTTAATCAATCTGAGGCTAAGTGGATGCTACCTATAGGAACTACCTTGTGGTGCAGTTGTGAGACTAAAATGAGATCATTAACATAAAGTGCTATGTACATCAATTACTGTCATTGGCAGCTAGCTAACAATTAGCATAATTATAAAATGGTGCCTCAACAACATTGGGCTTCTGACCGTATGTCCTAAAAATACCCATACCCCTCAGCCTGGAACCACTGGCTATAGCCTGGGGCAGAGGGACTTCCATGGGAAGGTAAGTCTTCCTCTCTGGCAAGTGTACCTTTATGCTCTCTTTTTTTTCTCCTAGTCTCCCTTCCTATCTATTTTTCCTTCCTTTCTTTCTTCTTATATTCCTTTTCCTCTGTGCACCAGTTTTTCTTTCTCTCTTGCCTATGTCTTAGCCCCAGAATTGGAAATCATAGAATTTAGGATCTGGCTAGGACCTTCAAAATGATCCAGTGCAGTGTTTCTCACTCCAATTAAGCCACAGAATGCCTTTAACCTTGGAAATGGTGGCCCTGTGGGCCTGGGCAAATGGGGTACCTCAGCTACAAGGGGATGGATAGTTTAGAGCAAGGTAAGAGAAATGAAGGCTACCTCAAAATGGGTACATATGATAGACATTCTTGACAATGCATAAATTCATACTTAATACTTTACTGAGGAAAATATTACTAACACCAACCTTTTCTTAGGGAACTGCTATTCTTACCACACAGACATGAGTTCTTTCATACAATTTGGATCTAGTCCAACCCCTAATTTGGAGAAGAGAAACCAGAGGCCCAAGGAGGTGAACAGACTCCTTTAGGGCCACAAAAAGAGTGTGAATTAGAACTGAAATCTCTTTCCACTCTAAAATGTTGTAGACTCACAGGGGCTTCTCTGACCCAACCCAACATTAAACAAAGTCTAGAATTTAAACATAACCTAATGTTATCTTTAACCCTCTGATCTAACCTGAAATGTTACCTTCAGTCCTAGTCCTTCATGTGATCTCTCACTTTAACCCTAACTTGAGCTCCCATCTAACCCCCCCCCCCCCCCACTTCCCTGCGCCAGGCCAATAGTAGAACTCTCCTGGTGCTTCGTACCTCTCTTAGAAACCATCACACCCTATTCTGGTTTGTAGTTGTCTGTGTAATGGTCTTATTTCCCCTACTAGATTATAAACTCTTTGAGGAGTCAAGAATGAAGGTTGTAGGGTCAGAAGATGATAGGATTTGGAGCTGGAAGAGGCCTTAGAAATCATCTGGTCATATTTACTCTTGAACATTCCTCAGCACCAGGCACAACGTTAAGTGGGTGCTTATTAAGTGTAGCCTTTGGCCCTGATCTCTGTCTCACTCCTGACCCTAGCCCTGGCACTAGGCTGATGCAGCAGATACCTTAACGTCATTGAATTGGTAGATGTAGTTCTCCATGGTCCTCACAACCTGGTCAGCCAGTTTTTCTTCATAATCTTCCCACAGGAGATTATTGTTCTGTGAGGAAACACACGGAGGCGAGGGGGCAGTTTGCTGAGAATTTCCAGCATCTCATTCCTCAGCAGCAGCCACCCACTTAGTTAATGCCCCAGGTGCTAGTGAACCATCGGACCCCTGCCTTGAATTGTGTACCTGTACCTTGTCTTGGGTTCTGTGGGGGAAGACCCAGAGGGAGAGAGACAGAGTCCCTGTCCTCTGTGCTTTCCCAGTGTGACAGAGAAGATGAGCTTTAGTAACATAGGGGAAAATGAGCTCCAGATACTAATGTTGGGAGTGACGGAGGGATCGAGAGGGAGAACTCGATGAGGTTAGTCTTGGGAAGCTTCCTGAAGGAAGAACTCAGACAGAAGAAAAGGATGGGCTTTGGTGAGACTCTTAGAGTCTAGATAATTGACATCTATAGCTGATAATAATTTTTAAAACTCCAATGGAGCTATGATCTCATGCATTTCCTCCAATGGTGCAGACCTCCACCATCCAGGCCTGCTTGTCTATATCCATTAATTCCAGGGGCCTCCTCAAGCTCTCTACATTATAACCCATCAAAACCCTCATTTGATCTGAAAAGTTTCAGCTTTCCCCCTCTTATCTATACTGAGATTGGCATTTTACTGGCAAGAGACAAGAAGGAGTGCCTCTTAGTTCTCTTTTGCCTTCAATAAAGCTGAGAATCCCAGCTTGGACTGAACTTCCAGGGAGGAGAGCAGTGAGACAGCAAGAAAGCAGCCCCTGGCAAAGGGACCTTGAGGAGGGAGTAATGGCTCTGTCTATGGATTTTCCTGTCACGCTTTAAACTGACCTCAAGCCACATCTCCTTTCAAAATCCTTCCCTAATCCCACTGTTTGGCAGTGACCTTTCTTCTCTCTGACCTCATCTAGACCTTTGTTCTGGACCTCTCTAAAACACTTATTGGGTAATATTGTGCTTTACAGTTATTTCTATTTGTGTTTTATTCTCCTGCTGGGTGTAAGCTCCATGAAGGCAGGCACTGTGACCATTTCTTTTACAAACTTGCTATTTCCCTCGGTGCCTGGCATGGCACATCTACATAAGGTAGGTGCTGAATAAATGGTGGTGGTTGTCACTGGCCCCCGGTCGTCCTCTGTACCGATGCAATGACTTTCAGGTCCCTGTAGCCCTCCCACTCATTGTTGTAGATCTCCTGCAGAGTTTGGGACAGTCTCATTGAGCTCTCGTGCATCACTGGAAGAAAAGAACTCAGTCTTTGTAAGAGGTTTCACCCCAAAATTCATTCCACTGATTATACAAATGATATGCAAATCATAGCATCTTTAGGCGATCTGGGAAAACACTTAGATAGCTTTGGGATGTGCCCCCTAGAGAAGTTGGCTAGAGCTTACAGAGAGGTTATTTTAACCAACTTAATCCCAAGATATTAGGCTCTGGGAAGCAAACAGGATATGGGAAGGTAGGATTTTTTTTTGGTAAGGCAATTGGGGTTAAGTGACTTGCCCAAGGTCACACAGCTAGTATGTGTCAAGTGTTTGGTCTGAGGCTGGATTTGAACTCAGGTCCTCCTGACTTCAGGGCCGGTGCTCTATCCACTGCACCACCTAGCTGCCCCTTGGAAAAGCAGGATTTTTGGTAACATTATGTAAACCAAAAGAGTTTCTGATTTAGTGGCTTCTTCTCTCACAAGGTGCTTCACCTACCCTCTCCTCCAGTGATCTAGTATAGATCCGAATGTCCTCTGGGATCATAGATATTGGGATACATACCTTTGACAGCATTAAGGAAATGTTTCAAGTCCTTGTACAGTCTTTGGCCTTCAGCCTAGAAAGAGAAGTTAATTTGGTTAAATGACTGGAAAGACTATTCAAGATGTAGGGAAAAGAAAAAGCAGAAGATGCCTCTACATAAGGTAGAAAAGACTTTTTGAGGCTGGGATATCTTTTATTATTTACTTAAGTAATTGATAGTCCTGATGGCTACAAGTGGATTTACATACTCTTTCCATAAATCCCTCCACTGAGTTCTATTTTCTTCATGATAAAGCCAGAGGCAGCCCTCAGTTCTTGGAGTCTATGCTGATGGAAGATGACACAAGCTCCCTCGTGTCCTATCTAGCTGAAAAGCCTTCAGGTAGAGATCTGGCAGCAACCCTCCCTCTCGAGGGACAAGGGACAGCCTTACTAAGCTCAGAGAGGCTCAAGTTCATCATCCCAGTCTTGGCCACCAAATGATAATTTGGTTTTGGCCACTGTAGCTCATGAAACTGTCAATTAAGACGTGGATAAGTTGTGATCAATCAATTAATCAAGCATTTATGAGGGCCAAGCATCATGACCTCATTTGGGGTTTTCTTGGCAAAGACTGGAGTGGTTTGCCATTTCCTTCTCCAGCTCGTTTTACACATGAGGAAATTCAGGCAAACAAGGTTAAGTGACTTGCTCAGGGTCACACAGCTATCAGTGTCTGAGGCCAGATCTGAACTCAGGAAGATGAGTCTTCTTGATTGCGGTCCAAGCACTCTATCCACTGTGCCATCTAGGGGCCTTTTGTATATCACACGCACATCATACACATGCACATATACTCATGTATGTGTGAGGTCCGGAATTCCGCTGGTTGGAGAACTCTGTACTTCCCCCATACAGTGGGGTGAGTTCGTTACCAACGAAGGAGGTCACGAACTCCAGATTGATTATAGGAGTTTAATCAATCATTATAATTATTTACAAACAGGAGCAATCCAAGGCTGCAGCCAGATGACTCAGTGGATACCAGTAAAGAACCTCCAAAATCCCCCTGGTGATTATAGAAATCAGACAAAAGGAGGAGGAGCCATAGGGTGCTTCACTGCAGATTGGTGGATATTTGAGGTTTTTCTACTTAGTTAATGTTTTGGCTAATATTTTAGTTTATACTTAGTATTGAACCCAATGCTGACATCCAACAGCATTGGGTAAATGCCCAGGCACTCAGGGTTGGGTCCTGGTCATGCTCAGTATCTAAGTTATGACTCAGTGTCTGATTATGATTTTTAACAGGTCAGTATGTCTTCCACCTTTCAGAGTTTAAGTTTATGGCTCTCACGTCTTACTGTGTATTACAGCTTTCACCAAATGGGACCCCACAGTATGTAAATATGAAATATACAAGTCCCACAGCTTCACGTGGAAAGTAGTGCTGGAACTGAGGTTTGGAGAGGCAGGGCTGGCATAAGCGACAACCTGTGCAAAGCCTAGAGATGAAGAGCTGTGTGCCAGAAGGCCAGTTTGGCTGGACAATAGACCGTGTAATAGAAGATTGGAAGGGCAGGAGCCAGGTTATAAAGGGTTTTAAATATAAAACAGAAGAGTTTCTATTTGATTCTAGAGTCAACAGGGAGCCACTGGAGTTTGCTGAGTGAGGAAAGGACATTGGGAAACGTGCAATTTAGGAAAATCACTTCGGCAGTTGAATGGAGGCCGATTTGGAGACAAAAGGACCTTGATGAAAGGAGACCATTTAGGAGGCTATTTCAATAGGTCAAGAGAGACGAGGTGAGAGCCTAAACTAGGGGAGTGGTTGTGTGAGAGGAGACAGATGTAAGAGGTGTTGTGAAGGCAAAAATGACAAGACTTGGAGAATGACTGGAGACATGGGGTGAGAGAGAGTGAAAAGTTGAGGAGGACTCCAGGGTTGCCAATCTGAATGGCTAGAAGGATGGTGGGGTCTTGGACAGAAACAGGGACATTCAGAAGTGGTGTTGACTTGGGGGCAAGGCAATGTGTTCTTTTTTGGATATGTTGAGTTTGAGATGTCTGTGGAATGTCTAGTTTATAATTTCTAAGAGGAAATTTGAGATGTGGACTGGAGCTCCGAAGACAGAATAGAGCTGGACGTATAGATCTGGAAATCATCAGTATAAAGATAACTGAGCCCATGTGAACTGGTGTGGTCACCATGCGAGATATTATAAAAATAGAAGAGGACCCAGGTCAGAGCCTTTGGGTACACTCATAGCTAGGGGCAGTGATGTGGCTAATGATCTAGAGATTAAGATGTAATGGGCAGACAGGTGAGGGAAGAACAGGGTGAGAGCAGGGTCATAAAAATGCAGAAAGTAGAAAGTATCTAAAAGGAGAAGGTGGTCAACAGTGTCAAATGCAGCAGGGTGAGAAGGAAGAGAATTTAGAAAGGCCCATTAGGTCTGGTCATTAAGATATCATCATTGATAACCTACCTCAGAGACAACAGATTTCGTTGAGTAATGAGGTCAGAAGTCAGATTGTAAAGGGCTGAACAGGAAGAGGGAAGGAAGAGGATGCAATGGGTGTAGACAACATTTTCTAGGACTTTGACTGTAAAGGGGAAGGAGGGACAGAGGATGATCTCTTGAAGGGAGCTTTTTAAGTGATCTGCTAGTAATCATCCACATCAATGAAATTACAGATCCTTGAAGCATGGAGTACTATACAGATTAGGTCATCCTCTTCCACCAATGTTTCTTTTGGGCCCATTTAAAAATGAAGGAGGGCTAGCTAGGTGGCTTAGTGGATAGAGCACTGAACCTAGAGTCTGGAAAACCTGAGTTCAAATCCAGCCTCAGATATTTACTAGCTGTGTGACCCTGGGCAAGTCACTTAACTTGCTTGCCACAGTTTCCTCATCTGTAAAATGAGCTGGAGAAGGAAATGGTGAACCACTCTAGTATCTTTGCCAAGAAAACCCCAAATGGAGTCACAAAGAGTCAGATATGACTGGACAACAGCTCTTGTTTAGGGCAACTAGGTAGCACAGTGGATTGAGGTCTCGAATCAGGGGGTCCTGATTTCAAATCCAGCCTCAGACACTTACTAGGTGTGACCCTGGAAAAGTCATTTAACCCTGTTTGCCTCAGTTTCCTCATCTGTAAAATGAGCTGGAGAAGGAAATGGCAAACCACTCCAGTATCTTTGCCAGGGAAACCCCAAGTGAGGTCATGAAGAGTCAGACATGACTGGAAAACAACTAAACAACAACAAAATTAAGGTGTTACTAGGACACTCACTGAGCTATCTCTTCTCTGTTTGGTTTTCCTATGAAGGATCAATGGTTTCTGTTTCCTCATCAGTACAATGAAGGTGGGAGAGTTGTACTAGGTAACCTAGAAGGCCCCTTCTAGCTCTAGAGTTCTATGGTTCTATGAAGCTCCTCTCTACCAATTCTGACCTGTCTTTCTCCTTACACTCCCTGCTCACTCCGCTATCCAATTTCTCCCCTTATGTAACCCTGTATTAAACTCTCTATTCCATGTAGGAAAACCTGCTCTTTATTCCCCACAGGCACCTGGTTCTAATCTTCCTCTGAATCTTCACACAGGCCACCCGTGTCTGCTTACTTCAGGACTTTTCCCTAAACTCTGTCCAGCTCAGCCTTCCTCTACCCTATATTTTAATGTGCTTCAGATTCTGTGTCTGTATTCAGTTTGTCCCAGTAGACTTTCCCACCCAAGACATGTCATTTCCTTATCCCATTGTGCCTTTTTCAGTGCCCAAGTTATGAGAGCTATTTAAGAGATACCATTCTTAAATGGGGGAAAAAATATTGATGGAGAGTGAGAATAATAATAGCTGACACTTTAAATGGCACTTTATAGAAATCTTCTCCTTTGATCTTCACAACAGGGTAAGCAGAACAGGTATTACTGTCCCATTGTACAAACAAGGAAGCCAAGATTCGGAGATAAAAGTAATTTGCCCAAAGTCACACAGCTGATAAATGACAGAGAAGGGGCTGGATGGAACCCAGGTCTTCCAACTCCAAATCCAGTGTCCAGAGCACCATGAACTTTTATTACATCGATGTTTATTGCTAACCAAGTACAAAGTCAAGGCCCTAACGTACATGGGCTTGAGACAAGGTAGGAAAGGCCATGTCAGTGGGGGTGGGAATGTGTAGCTCCCTGAAAAGGTATATGCCAAAGTCTAGGTCAGGGCCAGAGACATTGGGACTTTGACAGTATTTTATAAAACAAAAGATATTAATACAAATTAAAAACATAAAGGGAAAATGATTTAATTCATCTCCTGTTGTTGAAAGCAGGTCCACCCTTAACCTAATCCAAACTGTTGAGAATCCTCTAGGAAGGGAGTCTCAGACTCTCCATCAAAAGAGATTTTTAGTTATATCTCATAATCACTTCAATCACAACATTCCTCCTGAGGTCTAATATAATGCCCTCATGCTTCAGTTTAAGTCTATCTTCAAGGCAGATGGGGAAAGTGAGGGAGCATTTCTGGATGATATTTCCTTACTTGCCTCCTGTCTTTCAGCCTTTTCATTTCTAGAAGAGGAACTTCCCAATTTCTTTCTTCTTGCCTCACTGATCTATCTGATTCTCATGGAAAGAGCCCTGGGCTCTTAGATACCAACTAGCTGTGTGATGCTAAGAAAGTCACTGCCTCATTCTGGGCTCTTTTCTTCATCTTTCAAAAGGAATGACTTGGGCTTAGACAATCTGTATGTCACATCCCATTCAGCTCTAAAATGCTGTGATCTCTGATCTCTGAGGCTTTGCCAAGTGCTCCACACCCATCAAAGGCCAAGCTTGAGTCAGTTTTTTCCCACCCCTTGTATAAACAGGGCCAGCCTTCAGTCAACCAACCAGTCACAATTCCTTGGTGCTGAGTGCTTCCATGAGATGTACACAATTTTGTACACTATGGGGTGGGGTTACCTAGAGGGAACTGGAGACCCTGGGATCCCTACCCTTGGGGACCTTCCAGTATGACAGGGGTAACTCGCTGGGTGAGATGGGACACAATTTCAGAAAACAGTAACATAGTGAAACGGATAAATGAAGGATCAACTGACTGGGCTGAAAAAATGTAAAGACCTGTGGAGTAGTGGGGACATGGAAGGGAGGCAGCTTGATGGCACACTGGGTGGAGTTTTGGACTTGGAAGACGTGAGTTCAAATCCTGCCGCAGGCCCGTACTATCTTGTGTGATCCTAGGCATTTTAGCCTAAGTTATGGAGTCATTAAGGTGCTCAGATTTTTACAATCTAGTGGAGACAAGATGGACCTTACATACAGAAAGACTGTGGGAGGGATCTAGGAGTGGCCAAGTAGTTTATGAGGTAATAGAACTCCAGGGACCTGGACCACGGTGGCCAAGGGAGAATGGAGTCTAGCTAGGATTAAGGATAGGAAGTGGCCTGGGGCCCTAGGGAGATAAGAGGAAGGAAGGCTAGGCTAGGTTAAGAGTAACAGAGAATTGGGAGACTGAGTGTAGCCACAATGAAAGGCCAGTTGATGGGATTAGAGCCTCAGGCAAATGCCAGACATTTGGCCGTGTGGGAAAGTCCAGGGTTTTTCCTTTTTGGGGTCCAGATCCCAACCCCATCAGTTATTGGTCCTGACCTGGACAAAGATCCAATAATGAAGACTTAAGAAGGAGCAGTCAGATAGGTAAGAAGACAACTAAAAGAGAGTGGTATCCTGGGGCAGCTAGGTGGCAGAGCAGATAGAGTGCCAGCCCTGAAATCAGGAGGACCTGAGTTCAAATCCGACCTCAGACCAAACACTTGACACTTACTAGCTGTATGACCCTGGGCAAGTCACTTAACCCCAATTGCCTTAAAAAAAATAAATAAGAGAGTGGTATCCCAAAAACCTAGAGAGGAGAGAGTATCAAGGAGAAGAGAGTGATCAATAATGTCAAAGGCTGCAGAGAGGACAAGAAGGATGAGCACTGAAAAAAGGCCAGTAGATTTGGCAACTAAGAGATCATTAGTAACTTTGTAGAAAGAAGTTTTGGTTGAATCAGAAGTTGGATTGTAGAGAGTTGAGCAGATAGAGAGGAAAAGAAATGGAGACACCTACTGTAGTCAGCCTTCTCAAGGAGTTTAGCCACTAAAGGGAGAGAGGTATGGAATGAAAGCTAACTGGGATGGATGGATCAAGGAGGGTTTTTTCAGGACTGGAGAGACATAGACATGTTTATAGGAAGCTGGGAAGTAACCAGTGGATAGGGAGAGATTGAATAAAAGTGAAAGAGTAGTAATAGTAGAAGAGATAATTTCCTGGAGAAGATGGGATGGAATGGGGTCATTTGTGCATGTGGAGGGTCTTGCCTTAGCATGGAGAAAGGCTCCATTCATTTGAGACAAAGGAGGAGGAGATGATGGTAGAAAGCCTCTGGGTGATGTGAGATAAAGAGGAAAGGAAAAAGAGGGACTTTCTGGGAATGGTCTTGATTTTTTTTATTTTGCTTTTTTTTTTTTTTTTAGTGAGGCAATTGGGGTTAAGTGACTTGCTCAGGGTCACATCGCTAGTAAGGGTTAAGTGTCTGAGGTCGGATTTGAACTCAGGTCTTCCTGACTCCAAGGCCAGAGCTCCATCCACTGTGCCACCAATGGTCTTGATTTTTTTCAATAAAATATGAAGCAAGAAAGTTCTCAGCTGAAAGAGTGGAGGAGGGGAGCTGTGGGAAGTTTGAGGAAGAATGAAAAGATTTTGAAGAACCAGAGCAGTGAATGGGATAGTGAGATTTGGAATTAGGAGTTCAAACCTCAGTTCATATACTTTTCACATATCTGAGATTAGTTGTAATTTACGGTTACGTATAGGGTAGGACATGTGGTAGAATGTTGATTTTCATTGCTCATAGTTGTTGCAGTTGCAACTACATTGGAGTTTTTCAGCATTTAAGTTCAATCAAATTAAAATATACCTCCTCTAGCTGTTAATTGGTCAGCCATTCTGGAAGGCAATTTACAACTATTCCTCAGAAGTTACTGAACTTCTAAAATAGCAATGCCACTGCTAGGCCTTTACCCCAAAGAAATCAAAGAGGAAAAGGATACATGTATGCATGTATGATCTCTCTCTCAAATGTATATGTGTTTATATACATATATGTGTCTATGCATGTGTGTATACACACACATATATATGTATATATGTAGACTTGTGTGTGTTCTTTTTGTGGTGGGAAAAAGGAAACTGAGGGGAATGTCCATCAGCTGGGGAATGGTTGAGCAAATTATGGTATATGAATATAATGGAATATTATTGTGCTCTAAGAAATGATGAAGGAATAGGTTCAGAGAAACCTGGAAGACTTGTAGGAACTGATCTAGAGCAGAACTAGGAGAACACAATAACAACAACATTGTAAAGTTAAGCAACTTTCAAAGATTTAATTCTAATCAATGCAATGACTAACCATGATTCCAGAGGTCTAATGATGAAACATGCTACCCATACCCTGACAAAGAAGTGAGGGACCCCAGGATGCAAAACGAGACATTTTTTGGACATGGCCAATGCCAGAATTTGTTTTGCCTGACTACGCATATTTGTCACAAGGGTTTTGTTTTTTCTTTTTCCTTTTCCGATGGGGGTAGGAGAAAGTGAGAGGGAGAGAAAATTGATTTTTATTAATTGAAAAAATGTTAATCCAATTACAAAAACCTGAAATACTCCTCAGCTCATTTAGTGGTACTCGGCAAAACACTTATAAACACCTCATTTAATATGTAAATACCCTGGAGGGGTATTTACTCTTAAGTCTGTCAGTCATTCATAGTACAAACTGAATTACTTTCCCATTAATACCTATAAGTGAAGCGTGTCAGAATTGGGAAGAGGAGGGTTTGCTAATTTGGTGAAAGTGGGCACTTCCAGAGAGGAAGGGCTTAGGTAGGCCTCTGTTTGGACAGCCTGAGGGCAACTAGGAAGTTAGGAAGTAAGGGAAGGGAGAGATTGAGTTAAAAAAGGAAGCGGTTGGCACTCACAACCATTGTGCCTAGGGCACAAACAGAACGTTGTTGGGATGAACGGTGCGGGGAGATGTGGAGACTTGGAACTCTTAGCGGAGAAAAGGATAGTGAACCTGCCTGTGGGACATGTTGCGGTAGTGGGAAGAGCAACAATAGTAATAGCTAAGCGTATCCATAGCTCTTTAAGGTTTACAGAGCGCTTTACAAATATTCTCTCATCTGATGGCACAACAATCCAAAGAGGTAGGTGTTGTTCTTAGCCCTATTTTACAGGTGAGGAAACTGAGGCACAGAGAGGTTAAATGCCTTGCCTCATGGTCACCCAGCTAAGAAACCAATGAGGCTGGAGTCAAACTTCAGGTCCAGATGCAGCTTGGTGCTCTTACCCGCTGTGCTCACCAGCAACATTGGTTCTGGAAACCAAGTATGGACCTGGATTGGAATCTTGACTGTATTGTACTACCATTATTCTGGACCATTCATATACTATCTCTGGACCTCAGTTTCCATGTTTGTAAAGAAGGGGGTTGGACTAGGTGACCTATACCTTTGAATATTATAAACTCCTTAGGAATTAGGATTATTTCATCTTTTGTACTTGAATCCCTGACGCCTAACACAATGCCTGGCACATAAGGGGCACTTAAGTACTGTATTTTACAACATAATTGTTGCCACCACATATTCGTTGTGCTGTGTGTGTGTGTGTGTGTGTTTTTCAGTCCAAAAATTGGTTTATGACTTTCCATCAAGTAATCATCACACGGTATAATTCTGCTCGTTACGCCGCTGAAAAGGTAAACCGAGCGGCAATGTGTTCACCAGTGGCATATGGAGACACATTTATCTCTGGTGCATTGTGAGCCACTCTAGAATTCTCAGTGCATGTGTATTGTTAATATTCAATTTTAATATATATTCACGAGTATTACATGCATCCTAATCTTGTACCAAAGACAGTTTAATAATAAGTGATTTTAAATTAATGCCTGCACATTTTCTAAAAAAGCTTCACATGGGGCAGTTAGGTGGCGCAGTGGATAGAGCACCAGCCCTGAAATCAGGAGGACCTGAGTTCAAATCTGGCCTGAGACCAAACACTTGACACTTACTAGCTGTGTGGTCCTGGGCAAGTCACTTAAACCCCAATTGCCTTAAAAAAAACAAAAAACAAAAAAAAGCTTCACATAATGGTCGTACTCCACTTTTCTGCCAAAAAATTTGGCATAAAATCTGTGACGATTATGCAGTGGAATACAGGACTTATTGATTGACTGGTTAAATCTATGATCCTATGAAGTTCCTCTTGTTTCTGAGGGAGGTAGAGAGTCACCAGACAGTCCCTTGCCCTGGGGAGGAGGAAGTCTTGGCAGACATGGTCCCTGGTCTGTGAAACAAGAGCAGTTCTTCTTCTTCCAGGATCCCTACCTGCTCGATGTGGCCACTGGGACGTCATGGCCATCGTCCTCCCCTGGCCATCACTCACCTGCTGCTGGTGGAAGTTTTGGGCAGCCTGTTCAAAGCGTTCATCTTTGGTTTCTGCTATTTTCCCCAGTTTCTGCAGCACCTGGAAAAACATGAGATACTTTACTGTCTCTTAATCATGAATGGAATGGTAAGTGACCCCCGCCCAGCTAGATCCACACTTCACTGCCCCTGCTGTGCTATCCACAGGAATCCAACGTGTGCCTGAGCTCAGTGGAAGCAGGAAGGTAGATATGCTGTTTCCCCACCACATGACACATTTCAAAACCAGCTAGAAATAGTTTTTAGATTATCCACTTTGGAATTATGTTAGGGTGCCTTTAAAAGAGTTGAGAGCTTTTGCATAATCAAAATTAATGAAAACAGGATTGAAAGGGAAGCTATGAAATGGCTTTAAAATGACATCAAATATTGATTTGGGTCTGATATTTGATATATGAGGAGCTAACACAAATATATAAGACATTAGTCATATAAGACATAGAAGTCATTCCCCAAAGGATTAGTCGTCAAAAGGATCCCAAAAGAAGAACTGCAACCTATTAACAAGCATATGAAAAATTGCTCCAAATAATAAATGTAAAACAATGTAAATCAAGATTTAATATAAATGTATATTAATGTAAATCATAATATAATTATAACGGAAATCAAAGCAACTCATGTCTACCAAATTGGCAAAGATGACGAAAGTGGGAATAGTCAATGTTGAAAAGATTGTAGAACAAAAGATACACTGGTGGTAGTGGCAGTGGTGGTGGTGGTGGTGGTGGCTGTCAATTGTTCCATCCCGGAAAATGATTTAAAATTGTGCTAAGAAACTGACCAAGATGTCTATACCCTAGGAGCCTGAGATTCCACTGCTAGGACTATATCCAAGGGTGTAAAAGGTAGAAATGAGGGTCCTATATACACCAAAATATTTACAGCACAACTTTTTGAAGTGGCAAAGAACTAGAAACAAAGTAGATGACTGAGGAATGGCTATACAAATTGTATTTCATGGATGTGATAGAATATTGCTGCACTTGGAGAAACAACTCAGTAAAAGATTATGGAGAAATATGGGAAGACTTCTATGAACTGATGAAAGTGAAGTAAACAGAACCAGGAAAACAAAATACACAATGACTATAACAATGTTAAGGAAAAATTGATAACAATAACAAAAAAACTGAACACTGTCTAATTATAATTATAATGACCAAGATTGACACCTAAGAAGAGATAAGAAAATGTACCCCTCCCTTTACTTGAAGAGGTAGAAGAGTGTGGGAAGAGAACATTGTGTATATTGTTGGGCTGAGTGGCTATGTTGGTTTTACTTTTTTTGGGGGGCGGGTCTCTTTTTTATTCTTTGTTATAAGGAATGGCTCTCTGGATAGGGGAAAGGAAAGGGATATGTATAGAAATGAAGGTGATATAAAAACAAAAGATATCAACAAAAAATTTAAGTAAGGAGAAGAGAACTGACTGGGTGACTTCAATCTTTCTTCATTCTAACTGTAATCAGACTTCTCACTTTTACAGACCATTCTACATTGTTCAGGGGATGAGAATCCAGTTAGTGGATTCCCATTGTTTGATTCACCCTTGTTTAATTTCACTTTCCTCCCCTTGGAGACATGTATTAGCTCTTGTCTTCATAAACTCTATGGAAGCGACTCTAGTCATCAGCTTAGTGGGAAAATAAAAACAACTCACACTTACTCACTTTAAATATCTTAGGACTGTCAATTTAGAGCTAGAAGGAACCTTAGTGATGATCTAATTTCAAACCCCTTATTTTCCAGAGGAGGAAACTGAGGCCCAAGGGTTGTTATTTATACAAGGTCACACAGGTAGTAAGTAGCATAGTTGGAATTTGAACCATCTCATACAATTTATAATCTAGTGTTCATTCCTTTCTTTCTTCCTTTTTTTCCCTTTTAAATTTTGAGTTCTAGATTCTCTCCCTCCCCCCACCACTTCCCCACCCACTGAGGAGGCAAACAATTTTGATATCATGTGAAATCATGTAAAACACATTTCCGTACTATTTGGGCTCAGTCATGTCTAACTCTGTAACACCATTTAGGTTTTCCTTGGCATAATTCTTCCCTTATGCCATCTTCTCTATGAAATCTTTCTGCTGTAGTATAATGGGAGGGAAATACCCCAATGCATTTGGACTCAGAAAACCTAGAACTGAATCCTGATGATGCCTTTACTAACTTCCCCTCCTTGAGACACAGTTTCCTCATTTGCAAAATGAGATAATAATACCCAAACTCCCTGATTCAGAGGACTGTTGTGAGGATCTCGGATATTCAGACATATATTATCAGAATCATCTAGTTCAATCTGCTCACGTTACAAATGAGGAAGCTGTGGCCCAAAGAGATGAATGACTTGCTCAACTTGTCATTTGAATCCAGGTCCTCTGACTCTCGTTGAGTGTTCTTTTTAATTCACCACATTGCTCAGATGATCAAACAACATCCTCACATTTCTTACAGCACTTTGCCCTTCACCTTTATCACATTAAATATCTTTATTTGTATACTTGCCTTTTCTTCCCTTTTTGACAGAAGCAATTGTGTTGTTTTCCATCCCCATCCCCTCAATACCTAGTACAAAGCCTTGCAAATTGCAAATGCTTTATCAATATATATCAAGTTGAACTGACAATAGTATTGACATGACTGTACTTCACAGATGTGTTGTGCGGAAAGCATTTGTTTTTAATGGTTTGTATTTTTCAATTGATCATCAGTATAAGGAACTAAACTGGCTTAGTAATTATTTGCATTTTAACTACTTAATTTCAGTGAATAAAGTATCATAAGACTCTCAGTCACTCCTCTAAATCAGGGGTTTTTAACCTATGGGTTAATATTACCAAATGATTGGGGCAGCTAGGTGGAGCAGTGGATAGAGCACTGGCCCTGAAGTCAGGAGGACCTGAGTTCAAATCCAGCCTCAGAAACACAACACTCACTAGCTGTATGACTCTGGGCAAGTCACTGAACCCCAACTGCCTCACCAAAATAAAAAAAATTACCAAAGGATCCATGGATAGATTTAAGGTGGGATGGTGTCTGTGAACTTAGATGGGAAAAAAATTTATCTTTATTTTCACTAACCTCTAACTGAAATTTAGATTTACTTCTACTGTTTATTCTGATAAGGGATCCATGGGCTTCACCAAATTGCCAACAGTGTCCATGACAAAAAAAGGGTGAAAAACCCTCGTTATAAGTTCTCATCAGATTCCCCTCCCCTCATTTATTATTCTTCCTATAATTGTAGCTAGAGTGTACTCTAGTGTTTGGGTTCTGCTTTTTTTTTTCTCACTTGGCATTTTTATAAAGGTCTTCTCAAATTTTTTTGTATTTCCCCTACTTGCTGATCTTAATTACATCATAATATTTCATTACATGGTGCAGCTAGGTGTCCAAGTAGATAGAGTGCCAGGCCTGGAGTCAAGAAGAGTCATCTTTGTGAGTTCAAACTTAGCCTCAGATACTTACTAGCTGTGTGATTCTGGGAAAGCCACTTAGCCCTGTTTGCCTCGGTTTCCTCATCTGTAAAATGAGCTGGAGAAGGAAATGGCAAACCACTCCAGGATCTTTGCCAAGAAAACCTCAAATGGGGTCACGAAGAGTTGGACATGACTGAAATAAGTGAATAACAATAAAAATTCCATTACGTTAATGTACCATAATTAAACATTCCCCTCTTGTGGACATGTAGGTTGCTTCCTAGTTTTTGCTATTACATATGATCCTGCCATGAAATTGGAAAGCATTTTGTAAGCAGTCATGCATTGTAAATGTTAGTTGGTCTATTTGAGAGACGCTTTGAGATGCGGTAGAATGGTGCTTTTGTATTCTCTATGCACTTAATCCATGTTTGTTGACTATGAATGGTGGAGACGGCACTAGAGCCGGAGACAAGACCAGGCTGAAGTCCTGTCTCTGTTCCTTATTAGGTGGGTAACCATGCGCAAATCAATTTCCCTAAGTTTTCTTTTCATCATCTGTGGAATGGGGATTATATCACTTATACTACCTATCTCATGGAGTGTTTGTGAGATAATGGATTTAAACTGATTTAGCAGCATGAACATGTAAGTTACCCCCATAGATCTCTCTCTGGTCTGAGGTTTCTTATGGGCTTTGCCTGGTGTGAAGCCCAGCAATCTTGTAACCATTTTAAACCTGAGTTCATTATTCCTTTATCAGAATCTTCACTTCCCTCTTACCCTGTCTTTCTATCTCTGTTTTTGTTGTGCTACAACCAGATTGCCATACAGCCCTGAGTATAGGGCTTCCTCAGCCTCTCTAACCCAACATATCACACACTTCCCCCAACAGAATGTGGCAAAACCGTTCTGTGAAGTGATAGGTGTGGCAGACTTCCTTCCCCTATCTCCGCCCTTCTCTTCCTCTGCTAGAACTGGGGCCCATCTCTGGAATTGGAGACCTGGGAGAAAGGGATCTCCCTCTCCCAACATTAATTATAAATTACAACTCTTTGGCCCAGGTCAATCTTTGACTCCCAAGATTTGTCTAGAGGACAACTAGACAAGGTTCCAAGGCCCAGGAAAAGAAGTTTGCCTTCGGGGGAAGCCCTATCTGGAATCCCTGGATTTTTTGGCCTGGTTGGGCTCCTAGTCTGATTGGTAGAGGTCTTCTTAACTTTGTCATTACCTGTGTGATCTTGGGCAAGTGACTTCTGCCTGGGCCTCAGCTTCCTCATCTACAAAATGAGATGTTCTTTAAAGTACTTTCTAGTTCAGACAATTAAACAATCTATGAGGGTATGAGTATACTTAACCGTTTCAAGGAAGGGTTCTATTGTGTGTGGTAATGGAGAGCAAGAGAGCAGAGAGGGAAGGAATAATTGGAAAATGACAATGATCCAAAGAATATACCAAAAAAGCAATTAAAAATAAAAATTACTTATGAGTGTAGTTCATAGCAAGATCATCTGTAACTGCAAAAACAAAACAAAACAAAAAAACTGGAAGCAACCTTAATGTCAAACAACAGAGAAATAGTTCAATAAATTGTAATACATTAATATAATGGATTACTG